AAATAAATAATTATGCAACATTTTAGTTTCGTATTTGCAACAATGTTCCATATGAACCATACTAAAAGATCACTAACAAAATGAGCATTACAAAATGTTTCATCGTAAAAATAGTTCATGATTTTAATTTTTGGAAATGCTAACTCGTTAAGGTCAAAAAAATATACATTTTCATAACATTTTAAAATTAAAGCTTCCATATTGCCACCTTTATATAAAACCAAATTTAATGGATATTTTTCAAAATGTGTTCCCAAATAATCGTATACATCTGTACAAAAAATACTTTCAGAGTTGGACAATAAACTTGGATCATATGACAATCCGTGCACATATTTATGACAATGATCAAAAGCTTTTTGATGTTTTTCGGCCAAGTTTTGATAGGTGATACACGGCCACACCTGTACATGAAAACATGTATCATCGTTTAATGCTCGTAAGCATATCTCCCTAATACAATTTTTACCCCAGAAATGATCATTAACAAATTCGTTATGAATATATTCGGTATCTAACATCCAAATCTAAAAAAAAATAACAAGATTTTTTAATAAAAATGAGACGCATTCTTTTTTAAAAACTTTTAAACATGTATAAAAAAACAAAAAATAAGTATTTTTTTAATAAAATTTTAAAAAATGAATAGAGTTGACAGCATCATTAAAAAAATTCATAACAATTGCGCTGTTTGCGCATTAGATGAAATAGCAAAAAGGTATCAATCTCAAGAAAACAAATCTGGAAACTCTTCACCTTCATCTCTAGTTATAGACGAAGAACATTATGAAGACGAAGGTTCAAACACCTTTCTTGAAAATATTTTAAATTCAAAGAGAATCACATTAAATTCTTATTCCATTGAAAAATGTTTTAAAAACAGTAAATTTAAAAACTTACTTGACCAACCGCAATTGTGTCAATTTCACTTGAATAAATTTGACAACATGGAAAAAGATCATCTTGACGAAAACGTTATAGCCGAATATTACAAATCAAAATTGAAGGTTTTTTTACTCGAAAGAGACGTTAAACCTGTTGTACCATTTGAAGGTGATCAAACAGACGGTTTCATTGATACTTTTACAGCAAAGATATTACCTACCGCTTCAACTATCATAGAAAAACTAGATGGTGTTTTAAAAAAGAAATCTGTTAAAAGAAACATTGAAGGAATCATAAAAGGTGGCACGTCCAATAAAAAAACATTATTTGTTAATATTTTACACGCCATTGTAACATTATTTATTTCAAGTTTTTTTAGTTTAGAAAAAGAAGAATAATGTGTACTAACGATTCATTGTCTCGTTATTTTAATAGTGAACCCTTTTTGAAAGATTATTTTATAGGTGTTTACGCTTTTGACGAATTAAGTCAAACTCGAACACACGTTGACATTATAAAACGTATGGTAAAAAACGGATCTTTTTTCATATACAATAACGAAACTAGCAAAGAAAATGGAGAACATTGGAGACTTTTACTTAAATTAGACGCTAACCATTTTTTTTGCTTTGACAGTTTAGGTAATGAAAGCTGTTTACGACAAATTCCACCTTTTTTAAGAAGCAATAGACATTTGTTTGAAGCTGTAGAAGAAATACAAACTAACATACAAATAAACACTTTAAACATTAATTATAATGAGATTGAAATAAGTTCTTACATGCGAGAAACTCATCACTTTCCTTACGAGTGGACATCCGATAATCATGAATTTTATTGGTTTACAAAATTTATATTAAAATATAGTTCGATGACTGGTCAACAAACTATATTGTTTTCTTATAACAAAACTTGTTTTCAATGGGAAAACAGTAGCTTGTGCGGACCTTTTGCTGCTTATTTTATATCCTTATTACAAAACTATCTTATTGATGGTCACATTTATTTACCTTTGTTGTGCAGATTATTGAACTATCACTTCAATGAAGTTTCGAGTCTTCATGCTTCCGAACTAACTCAAATAAGTTTGCTTCCATTTTTTCACTTTATTAAAACTAAATTATTTAAACACTTGAATGTTACTGCTAAATTACTTTTTGAAAAAGACATGAAGCTACATCTCTATTTAAGAAAAAACGAGAGTCTGGTACGTTATAATGTAACAATGAAAACAATGATAATTCCTATAGAAAATGATATTTTTAAAAATGAGGTCATGACCAATAACAAAATTAGAAGTTTTTTAAACGATGCCAGGTTATTGAGAACAAACAATGAATGTCAATGGAATAAAATATCCATTCAAGATATCAATGCTATTAGAGATGTTATGAACGAAGAAAACCTTGCTTTAAAACAATACGAAAATATGAACAATATGTACTTTTTCGACTACAGAAGATTAAAAGATATAAACAATTTTATTGATGTTCCTCTTGATGATGTCATGACAAAAAAAGCAATAAAAACTCGCTTTGTTCAAAATTTATTATAAAAAAATGTCAACAACAGACGTGCAGAAAGTAGCTATATGCAGAATTAAAGAAAAATTTATAGAAGAAATATGTGAATCGTGTGCTGGTCACGGAATAATATACATAGTAAACATGCAAGATCCAAAATTATTAAATATGTTAAAAGAGTGTACAACTACCGTTTTCAACAACGAAGTATGGCTGCTATATAAACCAAATCAAACGAAATTTGAAATAAAAACAAACAAACTACAGTGTGACGTTTGCAAAGGAAAAAAAAAATATTATTAAAAAAAACAAAAAATTGTAAGACTAAGAAAGAACAAGTAAAGTTCACATTGTATTTTAATTTTATTTAAAAATAAATGTTTTTTTTTTACATAATAATTTTGTTTAATATACTTCAAAACTTTTATACGCAGGTTTATATATGTTAACGGGTGGTTGAGTTGCAACTGTTTTAGTTACAGTGGATGTTGATTTCTTTCCTTTCCATGCTTTTCTTAAACTATATAATAACGAACCCGCTTTTAAAACATTAGTTACATTTTGAGGTGTAACGTAGTCTGATAAACCACGAGCGCGTTGTTTTCGTTTAACTTTACGAGTACGTCTTTTTTTTATTCGCATTCTTTTAACAACCATATTGATAATGAATCCTTTATAACTGATACAAATTCGTCATATCTCATACTAAATGGTTTTTGATTTTTAAGCATTTCATCTTCATATATAATATCATATATAAAATCAATGTTAGCGACATCGTTTGAACGAGTTACTTTTATTTGATTGCTACCGTCCAAGCGAAAAAATAACTTGAAATTTCCATTTACATCTTTCAAACTATCGTTTGTTTGAAAAGTTTCCAATTTTTTAGCATTATAAAATTGTAAAAGACAAATTTCAAAAGCTTTAGCGTCCATTTTTTTTTTAAATTAAGAAATAAACTTTTTTTTTTCTTTTATATATACTTTTTTTAAAAAAAATATTTAATATATAAAATAATATATTTTATAAATATTAAATATATTATTTTATTGTAGGTAATTCATAACCAATATATATTGCCTTTGTTTACATGTTTAATAGTATATAATCCAGAACGTACTTTATAATCAATAACAAATCCTCCTAAAAAAGTAGAAATGTCTGTATGTCCTTCTTTTTTATTTCCGCTTATTATCTGACATAGATATTCATTAAAATATTTAAACGTTAAGATATATTCGCCATAACTTGTGACATCAGCTCTTATGTTATTTAAAGAATATACTCCCATATCTTTAAGTATTAGTTTATAAAACTCCAAATCTTCTTTAATAATATTAACGTATGCGTTAGTATAACATTGACTACAATGTTCTTTTCTGTGATATCTTTTTGCAGCATATTCGCAACAACTTTGGTTAAACAAACGTCCTTCGCTTGATGTCATTCTTGTTAAACTAAAAATTTATTTCTAAAGTTTAAATATCGATCCATACCACCTCTTAATCTTCTAAAAACAATAATATAACTGTAAATATAATTAACAATATATATTTTTTATCTTAAAAAAGTTATATTATTAAGGTATGAAGTATTTTTTACCAAGGTGTACCAAATTTTCTAGTAAGCCAAAAAACTACATTACCTCTACCCACCATGTTACTTAAACGTGTATGCCGTTTTGATTTTTTGTTTATAAAATTATATCTTTTTGCACGTTTGTTACGTCTGTGTCCCCTTCTCATTTTTTTTTCTTTGGACTTGTAAAAAAAACTTTGAAAAAAAAACTTAGACATTTAAAAAAAAATAAATTGTGTCACCCGACACTGTCCTTACTTAACCTGTCTTACCTAACTAATTTTGTTTTTCTTAGTAGGCCTACTTATTATTTTTTACTCTGTTGTTTTTTTACAACCGGTTGTTTATTATCTGTATCTTACTTACTTACTTAACCTTACTTACTTAGTCTATTATTATTGCCTTACTTATGACTGCTCACCCATTCGTACATACACGCTCGTTCATACACGCTCAGGACTCACCGAAAGTATGAGCTCTCAGTGGGGACAATCATCAAGTATCAGTGAACTCACCGAAACTCAATGTGTTTAGCATATAACTAACTAAGCTAACTAGACAGACGTCATCAAGTATCAGTAAACGCACCGAAACTCAATGTGTTTATACATATAATGTTAAAGCCGTAAAGTTATAGAGAGATTCGAACCCTAGACGATCGGTTTATGGCGGTTTACAACTTAGTGCGGAAATGATACGATGCACTAGGCTACGTCGACGTGTTGTTTAAGCGTGTTTTGAATTCATTTAAATTGTCATTTTAACACTTTACGCAGAGAATTTTTTTTCTACACAGAGTTTTTTAAAAGTTGTTTGCGCACCTATATAATCCTACGTAAAAAGCAAGATTAAAAGTTTCTAAATATAACTTGTTTGTCACAAAATTCTTTTATTTTACTTAATCAAATATTTAATCAGTAGAGTATCTGTTTTTGTACTTAAACAAATATTTAATCTGTTGAGATTAAATATTTTTGTATAAAAGCTACATTTTTTTATAACAAAAATCAAATGGCAATTACAAAGCGTGTTCAACGTAACAATATGATAACAAAGGTAACGCCTGAAACAATCGTCATTGACGATGAACAAGACTTAGAATTTAAGCAGATTGATTTGATCTTCGATGAATTTATGAAGGTCTTAGATAAAAAAACACAAAGTGAAATTTTAACAGAAGTTACAGATAAGGGAACTTCGGAACAAAACGTTCATTTAGAAGTCAAAAAAGTAAGATTTTTATATAATAAAATTATTCTTTTTTTAACTTTAAAAGAATAATTTTTTTTATTTTTTTTTTTATTTTTTTTAGAAAAAGAGCAAATATAAACTCAAAAGACAAAGAGAAAGAAAAAACAAATATATTTTAGAAAAAATTAAAAAAGACATTGATTTTTTAAATAATGTAGCATGTAAATAAATTTTTTTTACAATAAATTATTTTTTCTTCTTGTTTTTTAACGCTGCATTTCTTTCGTGTTTTCGATTAACGTAAGCTCCGTTTGATATTTTCCATCGTTTTACTTTTTTACCAACGCGTCCCAATTTACGATTAGATTTGTTATCTTTATATGTTTTTTTAGTTTTTCGTAAACATATTAATATATTTTTGCAATTGCTTGGTACCCCTCTATTTTCTGTTTGCGTATGTTGCGAGTTTGTTGTAGTGCGTTCAAAATCAATTTGATTATTTAAATAATTTTCTACAGTTGCTTTTGATCTAGGTGTATATCTTGTGCGAGGCATTTTTTTAATATATTTTTTTTTTTTAAATATATATTTATATAATAACATTTTTTTTTTATTTTTTTACAGATTTAATTATATAAAATAAAATGAGTGAAAACGAATTAACAAATATCTTGTCGTTCTATCTTGAAGCCTATTGGCAGCAATTTGCTAATTATTTGAACATGCATACGTATGTTATTGATGCCATTGACAACGACTACAATAGAAGTTATTTAAAAATATGTCGAGTAATTACGCTATTTTTTCAAGTTAATCCTGAAGAAAAATTTAATCCGCAATTTATATTAAATACATTACAAAAATGGTTAAATGACGAACAACAAAAAAATAATTTTAAATTAATAAACAATCGGAATGAATTAATTATTAAAGTTAAGAACCGTGTAGAAGAGTGCATGTAATATTAACTTTTTTATATTTCTTTTTGTAATTTTATTGATAAACTAATAATTTTTTTAGATTAAATAAAAAAATGGAAGCTATTTACGCTCAAGTGGATAAAGCCATCTACAGATATGGCAACCCTGAAACAAAAACAAAAGACCAAGTAAAGCCGTACGAGGCCATATTTGTAGATGGCAACTCTGCTTTTAATTTGAAAAACATTGACATTTTAGATGAAAAAGAAGATTACGACATGCATGATTTAGATGATGATGATGATGATGATGATGATGATGAGGAATATAGTGATAACAATGATGATGACAATGATGATGATAAAAAATTATCAGACTATTGATTTTTTTAAATTTAAATTTATAATAATTTTTATTTTTTACTTTTTAAAAATAAATGTTATTTTTCTTATTGTTTTTTTTATAATTTCTTGACCATAAATATGTATAATTTTACCCATAATATTACATAATATTACCCATAAAAATTTTCTTAAAAAAAAACATTTATATCATTTTATTACTTTTATTTAGCAACTAATTATAAAAAAATGGCCGGAAAAAAAGTTTTTCAACACATGAACAACTTAAAAAACATTATATAAAAAACAATAAACTTATTATACACGTTTCTTTTATTATGTATTTTTTTATTCTGTATTTAATATATTTTTGTATTTAATATGTATTTTTTTTAGACTATTAAAAAAAATGAGCAGTGCAATCATGAGAGAATTGGCTGACTATATTACTACATCAGATGTGAAAAAATTAAAAATGTTTTTAGAAATTCCTTATGGTATAAGAGAAAAAATTAAAGACGGACTAGATGTGATGGAATACATCCAGTGCAAGAATTTTGTATATCAACACTTTGAATACGAAACTAACGAAGCAAAAATAAAACTTATTTTAAATTTGTTAAAAGAAATCGGTAGAGTGGATATTTATAAAAGGTTTATAATGAAACTAGAAGAACCTCCAGCGTACGAAGATTCAAATCCTCCTGCGTATACAGAAAATCCAAGATATTTTGTACAGATAAAAGATCATAGATATCCGTCATATAACCATCCAACGTATTATCCGCCTGAAGCTGTTAATTTAAAACAAGAAAAACTTTTTAATTATTATGATAAAAAATAATTTTTTATTTCATTTATGTATATTTGTTTTATAATAAAATATAAAATTTTTATCTTTTAATTTGTATATTTTGTTTATGATCTTCATTTTAAACCTTGTTATGATTATAAATATGATTTTATTTAGAATGTTAAGAAAAAATTTAATTATTCGTGCTAGAATACATCATGATTTAAAATTTTTTTTTTTTTAAAAGAAGACAAATTGAAAGATTTGTGGTGTAAAAACGGTGAAATATGGTATATAATATATAAATGGAATCGTGATTATGGACTTTAAAAGGTTGGTGTAAAAGAAAGTTAGCTTCCGAAAAACTGTTATTTTTTTCTTTTTTTTTTAGATTCATAACAAAAAAAAATGAAACTTGTTAAAAATGATCAAACAAGATATGTCAGTTACAACCCTCAAGAAGCGAGAATACTTATAAAGATAGCAGAAGACCGATACGGAACCGAAAGTTGTAAAGTGTAAGCAGAATTTCATCGTATTGGTTTTTTTGTAGACGAACAAATTCAAAAACGCACAAATAATTTTACAAATAAAGAACTCTTTGAACAAATAAATAATAATTTTGAAAACTTTGTTAAAAGTTTAGTATGAGAAAAAACAAAATTTTACATTAATAAATTTTTTCATTCAATATATTGTCTCTTTCATTTTTTATAATATGATAACATTCCAATACATCTTTTTGAAAATATAATCCTTTAACTAATCCTTCACAATAATAACACAATTGTTCAACTATTAATTTTAAACTATTTACATAGTTTATTTTTTTATACAATTTGTCTATGCACGTAAAATAATAATAAAATGTCTTTAACACATCGAGACAATGTTCAATGACATCACTATAGTTATGATAACACGTGTCGGAATAAAATATGCGATACGGACATTTAAATAACATATCAAGAACTTTTATTAACTCTATTTGATATGTCTTTATAATTTTTGGATCTTTGATATAAAAACCGTATATTCTTTTACAACTATCCAATTCGCTTACTTCGGCTAAGAGAACTTTATCCATTACAATACCTTGATTTAAATGCGTTTCCTGTAAATGTTTTTTTAAATCTAAATTGACTTGATATAAATATAATAAACAATCGTCCGTCGCATTAAAAGTCATTTTGATAAATAATTTTTTTTTATTATAATATACAAATATATTTTACAAATTTTTTATTATTAACAAATATTTACAATTATTTACAATTAGTAACAACAACCGCGGCACCGTTCAAATAGCCCTTGCACGTATGGGCACACGGTTCTTGTACAACAGTGACTGTGCACGCTCTCTTCGTCACACAGGCAACATCCAAAACATATCAAGCGTCTTGGTGTTGCAAAATACCGATCGTTTCTAATCATTATGTCATCGTCCTCCAAATGACGGTCTATTCCTATCATTATGTTATCTAATATATGCACTTGTTCTAAAAAAAATTATTTTAAACCATTAGATTTTTTTTTAAATTATATCATATTTATAAAAAATAATATTAATTTACCGTCATCAATTTCTGGAATATCGTCAAATATTTCCAGTTCATCTTCGTATATTTCTTGATCAATTCTCTCAAGTGGTCTTGTTTCAACCACTTGAGGAATATAAGCTTGTGGAATTTTATAAGTTCCTTCTGGAACGTAAGGTTTAACAATCTAAAAAAAACACAACCATTTCAAAAAATATTAAATTTAAAACATTTTTTTTTAAAAAAAACAATAAACTTACAGCTACAGGTTTTACAAACAATTTTCGTTTAACTTTATCTTTTTTATTCTCTTTTATTTTTTTTACTTTTGACATTTTTTGTACTTTTGGCATTTTTTAACAATTTAATTTGACAAAAATGTTTTTTTATATATTCTTTTGTAACGCTTGATTACCTTTAAACAAAAGAAAAAATTTAATTTTTAAAAATGACACGCTCATGATGTCATAAACCTCGTTATGAACCTCGAGAAGGCTTGATTACCTTTAAACAAAAGAAAAAATTTAATTTTAAAAAATGACACGCTCATGATGTCATAAACCTCGTTATGAACCTCGAGAAGGCTTGATTACCTTTAAACAAAAGAAAAACTTTAATTTTAAAAAATGACACGCTCATGACTTCATGAACCTTGTCATGAACCTTGAGAGGGCTTGATTACCTTTAAACAAAAGAAAAAATTAATTTTAAAAATTAAAAAATGACACGCTCATGACTTCATGAACCTTGTCATGAACCTCGAGGTCGGCAGGTCGGGAGGTTGAAAGAAACGGATTTAGAAACGGAGTAAAGGAAGAATCCCAACTTGATTTTGCGTAATAGGCATATCATCATATATATATATATATACATATATATATATATATATATATATATATATATATATATATATATATATATATATATATATATATATATATATATACATATATATATATATATATATATATATATATATGTATATATATATATATATATATATATATATATATATATATATATTAATAATATAATATAAATATATATTTAATTGATAAACTTATATTTTCGTTTAACCGCCAAAAAAGGGAAATTCCTGCAATTTATACTTTAGGCTTAAAACAAATATAAGCGCATTAATCAGACTTGATTTGAAAAATTAAAAAGGCATTAAAAACTAAGAAGTTTTTGCTTACTTATGATATGAACACAACATGTTGCGATATTTGGGGATCCCTTTAGGAACGAACTAATATAATAATCAATTAAAAATAATATTGTTATTTGGTTAGTACTGTAAATTGGTTATTTTAAATATGATTTTAGATATTTTTATATGCAATTTCTTTACATTTGACAATATTTGAAATTTACTGATATGCATTTGTATAAAAAACAAATACATAACCATATTTAAACAAAAAGATTTGTTATAATATTTATTTACTTAGTCACTCAAAGTTACCCCACAAATGGGGTAACTTTGAATATGTTTTGCAGTAAAAGCAGAGTTTATATTCAAAAACATGTTGGGTTTTTTCAATTCAATAAAAGCAACATTTTTGCTCGCTGAAACTGATTATTCATCAATAGGGTTATTAAATATAGAATAATGTGTAAAATTTATGTTTTTGATATTATCAAAAATATTCATTAAAATATTTATTTGATTCTTCACCCCCGAAAAAAGCCATGTACAAACTTTTAAGTAATAAAATCAAATATTGTTAAAGTTATGTGACTTGGAACCTTTAAACAAACTTAACAATCCTGAGGGGGGAAGAGGGGCTTGGCTAAGATCTGCTAAAAATAAAATGATTATATTTAAGGATGTTCTTCGATCTAAAAGCTAAAAATTTCAACAAACTTTTATTTTATTTAGTATAAAACCGCATAAAAATCAGCAAAATATGAGATATTATGACATGATCAATTGACATGGTATTACCCTTAAAATTGAAATCTTTAGGCTTAAATTTTAAAAATCAAAATTCTGTTTTATTTTTTAATAAAATGAATTTTATCAGCTTTGTTAAAATATTTTAAAAAATTTAACCAGATTTGAAGACATACTTATTTAATAGTTAATCCCTCTTTCAAAGATATTTTCATATTTTTTCGAAAATTCCTGCTTGCTTTACTGACTTTAAAGTCTGTTTTAGTTAACCTTCAACATTAAAGTAAATTTTTTAGTTAAGTATTTTCAAAAAATAAGAAGAATTTCACACGGTAAATAAAGTCAAAAAATAAGAAGAAGCCGTAAAGCTCACTTGAAACAGCTCAAACATGTTCAAACTTCAAACAATTTTTTGATCTTGTTTCATATTTTATAAATTATAAGTCCATAAAATATCAAAGAAAGTATTTTTTTAAATAATCAGTGAGAGTCTTAACTTAAAAACATCTTTTTCAAGAGAGAAGATAGAAGAAAAAGTGATATAAGGCGGTAAAAATGGGGGACAGCATTGGAAATTGCCTAAAAATGATAACGTCCTTAAAGGACAATCAGAAAGAATTAAGGTGCAAAATATAGCATAATAATAATAATTATTATTATTATATGATATAGGATAACGCAGAGTTCCAAAGTTTTTTTAAAACAGTGAGAAAAGATTGCATTTTGTTGTTTAATTTTTAAGAACTTTAGATGAACATAGAAACTTTAATTTTTTAGAAAATTTTTTAGAAATTAGAGAAACTTTATTAATCTATATATTTTGAAAAAAATGAGAATTTTTTAAACTGATTTATTAACAACAAAAATTTATTTGTACTTCTTATATTCTTTTGCGTTAAGTTTACACATTTTCTTTGCTTCAGCCAAATTTCATTGATTTATTTTGACCAGCACATACCCAACTATGACCAGCACTTCTGGAGCCTAAATTTCGTTTTTCCGTATCTTAATTGGGAAACAAAGGAGTTCTATATAAGGAGACAAATCTATACATGTTTTAATTTTTTCAATTATGTAATATACGCTATAACAATCTGTACATCAAATAGTATTATTTGTGAGGCAGAATTCAAAGATCGGTATTCGACAAGTTTTCAAGTACTAATTACAATTGAAAATTTTAGAATTTATTCTTAACTTTTTTTTTTTAGTTTAATGGCTTATTTTGAGGCAGTATATATTTTATTCAATATTGTTTATTGACTCCATTTACTTATTGTTTTTCTTATTCTAAAGTTTAAAGAATGATTGTATCAAAGACCCAGTGGAGTACCACTAGTGTTTTTTGAAAAATTGTAAAAGACAATAATGGTTTTTATACTAATTAGACTCTCTGAAAATAAAGCAAACAATATATACACAAAAAATACTTCTTAAAAATAGGGTGTGTTTAACCATCGCACCACACTCAACCTTACTCCAAAATAAACTTCTCATATTTAGCAATGACCAGGTAGCAAATTATGACAAACTCAAGCATATAAAAACTACAAATGGAATTTTTATTTATCATCGGTAAAGACAGTGGTTAACTGCCTTTCTAGCCCCTTTATACACACAGTGGTAGGATGATAATAAATAACCGTACCCCATTCTTGCCCCCACCTTTAGATATCAAGTTATAGGCATTTAGTTCAGGTATTGCCAAAGATATAGTAATTTTAGTTAAAAAAAAAAAAATTTTGAAAACAGTTTTTTCAACAAAACTATATTTTAAAAAATTGGTACTGAAAACCTTATAACATTTTTTTAAATTGTTTAATTTTTTGAATATTTTTGCCATTAAAATATCGTATTAACAGGCTTTATGATCTATTAAATTTTATTATATTATTAATTATTTTCAATATGATCAAAATTTTCATGCTGCGTACCTACAAATCTCTAAATATTAATACTGTTAAAATTCAATGTTCAATGGCGTTTCGCTTTCGTTTTTAAAGCAGTTTTAATTAGATACTAGGCTTTTCTGATGTTGGAACTACGCGTTCTCAAAATGCAAGCGGGTATTTGAAGAAGATCTATAAAGCGATTTAAAACTTTTTACCTTTGGAGTTGAATTAATATTTATTAGTTTGGAAATATTACATAAAGAATCATATTAAGATAAATAATCATTGTTAAGATCATATAATTAAAGTAAGTATAGAAAATAGTTTAGCAATTTATATATAATATCAGAGTTGGGGGTGTTAGGGTTAGGGTTAGAGTCATGCTTAGTTTTAACACGTATGCCAAAGCAAATTAGACAGTTATTTGCAATTATTTTGAATTTTTGTGAACCAGACAATCCTTTGCATCTTTGGAATACATACAAAGCATATATGATTGAGGACTTTATTCACCGCTCAGTTCCGCTTATAATAGCTGAACAAGCTGCTCTTTGTCAAGTTGAAAAAATTATTAATCAGTGTGGTAAAACGCTGGCTGATTTAAATCTGCCTGTTGTTGAGTTAGATTTTAATCTAGATAAACTAGAAAACTTCAATCAAAATGTTAAATAATCAATTGATGAAGTCAACAGAATGAGACCTTTGCTCAATGTCAATCAATTAAATGTATGTAATATTATTTTTGCTGCATTGAATGAACAACCAAGTGTAGAAAATCAGCATTCTCGATTATTTTTCATGGATGGTCCGGCTGGTAGTGGAAAAACGTTTACATATAATTATTTGATTGCTGACCCCAGCAGTAGAGGTATTAAATCTGCTACAGCTGCGTGGACTGGCATAGCAGCAACTCTTCCTACAAATGGATCTACATTGCATGGTTTATTTAAACTTCCTGCTCCAATATTAGATAACAGCACATGTAATGTAACTCCAAACTCTTTATATGAACACTATTTAAGTCAGGTTAGTTTGTTTTTGCTTGATGAAACATCCATGATACCCAAACATGCATTGAACGCAATTGATAGGTTATTAAAAGATGTTTGCAACAACAACTTTCCATTTGGAGGAAAAGTTCTTTTTGGAGGCGATTTTAGACAAACTCTGCCTGTTGTGAAAAGAGGACAACCAGCTGAAGTTGTAGAAGCATGTATAAAATGTTCTTTACATTGCCAATGGGTGCAGAAGTTTAAGTTAACTGAAAATATGAGAGTACATGATGGGGAAAAAGAATTTTCAAGTTGGCTATTAAGACTTGGTAGTGGAACAGTATTTGTCAAAGAGGAAGATCCTTTAAAAGGATGCATTGAAATACCGCATCAATGCCTTACTAGGGAAAATGACTCCATTGTTGAATAGATATTTGGGGATGCCGAACAAGACAATTATGCTAAACATGTCATTTTGACACCAACTAATGTGGCATTACTATCAATCAATGAAGAAGTGCTTCAACGTCTACCCGGTGAGGTCAAAACTTATTTAAGTGCTGATCAAGTTGAGACAGACAATCTTAATGAAAGAAATAACATTACTGTTGAGTTTTCAAATAGCTTAATTCCCTCAGGTATGCCTCCTCATTCTTTAAAGTTTAAAATTGATTGTATAATCATGTTACTTAGAAATTTAGACCTCAAAGCTAGGTTATGCAATGGCACTCGAATGAAAGTTTGTGCTCTTCAAAATAATTATATTGATGCAGAGGTTTTGACAGGTGTTTCTGCTGGTAAACGGGTATTTGTACCTCGAATTCAGTTGGCTATGTCAGATTCTAATTTACCTTTTGTTCTAAAACGTCGCCAGTTTCCTGTCAGATTGGCATATTCAATGAAAATTAATAAAAGTCAAGGTCAAACATTTGATAGAGTTGATGTATATCTAAAGAAACCGTGTTTCACTCGTGGTCAACTTTATGTTGCTCGTTCAAGAACTAGAGCATTTAAAAGTTTATTTTTTAAAATTGATAAACATCCCATTCAAGGTATGATAGGTGAAAAGTGTTACACAAATAATGTTGTATTTTCTAATGTTCTTAATTTATAATTATGAGATTTTTGTTATAATTTTCACTTTTTTTCATAGTTTTATTTTATATTGTTTTAGTAATTATATTTGTCTTTATACATGTTTATAATTGTTATATGTGTTATGTAAGTGTTATATGTATATTATGTGTTAGTTGTTATTTAAATTGTTCATGTAATACTTGGGCTATATGTGTTATCAAGGTTATGTGTTTAGGGTTTGTGTATATGTGTTTATAGTTTGTTTATATATGTTTATATTACGTTGATTCCATGTTTTCAAAGTGGTGTGACTTGGCAAACGTATCGAGCAAGATAGTTAACCTTGCCAGCCAAGCGGTGTACTTAAAGCAGAGGTGTGACTTGGCAGCGTCTAGTGCCAAGAGGTGTTACTGCTTTGTTATGGCTAAGTTGTGTTGTCTAGCCTTTTTTAATTATTCTGGAAAAACGTAATGTCTATTAATATTAAGCATCATATGTACATACAAATATGTAATGTGTTAAATATGTTAACATGTTTTATTATGTTATATCGTCACGGTCATAGCACAATTGCCTAAGTCATTTTTTGGGGTTTTTCGGAAGTTAAGAGTTGAAATATATACCTTAAACAATCTTCTATAATGTGGCAAATCGCCTTAAACCAATCAGAAAGGAGTTGATTTTTAATTTTTTTAATTCTGCTTAAATCTGCATTTTTACTTATATCTTATTGTTTTTGACCTATATCCTATTGTGTTTCAACGGTAATACACATATCACTTCTAAAGCAATATATGAAAGCATCTAAGTAAAAAGATGCCAAAAATAAACCAAAGGGACGTAGCAAAAGAAATACCGAAGTTATTCTTTTTTTTTTTTAATTTTCTCAAAACAAGAAAAAAATGACTTAGGCGATTGTGCTATGATCGTGACAATATGTTTATAGCTTGTTTCTTTGTCTATTTTATGCAGTGGTTTCAAAGCGGTTTGACCTGCCATTGTATAGGGCAAGTGTAATGTGTACTTATAAATATTTTATGTGCTTTTATTGTGCGTTGTCGTTGTGCGTTATCGTTGTAACATTGTTGTGATGATTTGTGTTGATAGACAGTTCGCTTACTTTCCCGTTGGTGTCTATCGTTAAAAATGATTAATTGATAGTTCTATTCATGGAGCTTACTGTTTCTAATTATTCACTAAAAGCCAATACAAAACATATTGCTATAAACACAATTGGTTTATATTTCAATTTGTTTTTTTTTATTTTTAGTGTTGTCATAGTTCTATTCTTTAAAACATTTTTAATTGGCTTTTTAATAAATGTTAACTAATTAAACATTTTGAAACCTTTTTTTTTGTCTTCAATAAAAGCCAGCATGAAATAATGTCATTGAACAACACTTTCAAATACTGCTTCATCAAAATAGCAACTGCAGTTTGCCAAAAACAGGTTAATTGTTTTCCTGTTTTAAAAATGTTATTCTTTTTTATTATATTTACTTATTTATTATATTTTTTCAGACACCATGTGACGTATTTATGCGATACAGGAGAACACAAATAATAATTATGTTTTGTTATTAAATAATAAAGTTTTGTTAAAAAAAAATATTTATTATTAAATAAATTTGTGATTTTGTAATAAACGGAAGGGTCGGATTTTAGAAGCATGATATATTTGAAAATTTCTGTTTGAAATGCATTTTTCATCTATGACGGTAAGACTTTTATGTAATTAACTAAAATTTAATTATGTACACATTAAACGCTTTTAAGTTAAATAGAACTTTTTTTTTTCCTTAATAAAGGAAAGGGGGTTACCAAAAAATTAATAAGTGTCCCGTTAGACATTAGAAGTTAACATTTATATAAGTATTATAATAAAATTTTTTAACTGCTCCAAAAAATTTAAAGACGTTAAGGAAAATTTAAACTAAATGATAAAAAAAACGCCTTCACTCTTAAACAAATAATATATCCAAAAAAAAAATTAGTTTTTGTCATATTTAACAGTAACTCCCTTATGCTAATTATATCAATTTATTAAATTATTTCAATACAAAAATAAATTTTAATAATAAAATATTACTAGACTTCACTATTTCTTCACTTGATAAAAAATAAAACTTAAACAAACAAAAAACATACCTACACTTATTGTTTCTTATTAAATTTCAGTAAAAGTCAAATTAAATTTTTTTCTTCTTCAAAGAAATAAAAATTTAATTTGACTATATTTAAAGAACACCATGTGCACAAGAAGGTTGCAAAAATCATTCTTAGCAAAAAATATTTTGCCAGAAATAATATCTACGGTTCTCAATGCCGCCGCCGAGGCCTTTATGTTGATATACAGTAAAATAAGGGCCGTACCGAATGAAATGGTGTGTGGTGGTGGAAACCTGTAAATCAAAACAGAAATTTGGCATCTAAAAATATTAAATAAAAAAAAGCCATTTGTTAATTCTCGCTTTTTCAGTTTTTACTACACCCTTTCCAGTAACATAACAGCCATATGGGTAGGGGTAAATGCCAAGGGCCACAAGCAACAAAAGCCCCTTGTTCCTTCATAGATAAATTTTACCTGGCCCGTTAAAATTGTATTATTATGATACGTCATATATTATTAAACGTTTTTTATAGACTAATTAAGATTAATACATGCGCATTTTCGAAGTATTAAATATGGGAATATTAAAAAACAATGCAGGCTCTAATTATTAAACCATATAGTAATATGTTAGTGTATTGTAGCTTGCAAGACTACAAGTTAGTTGAAAATTTAGTTTATGTTTCAATTATAGGAAATCAACCAACTATATATTTGCAGGCCCCTATCGTGAAATTTTTTAAGATTGGTTGAGTCGTTTACTGAACGTCGCACCCAACGATCGCCCACGGTACGGACATGATTTGCGTTTGCTGTCTATACCAGATTGAAACCTTGTAACTATTTTAACAAAAGATAACAAAAACGCAAAAGAACAGTCTAATTTAGAAGTTAAAAATACAGCAAGAAATAGAGGAATTTTTTTTAACAATAAAATTGCCTGGGTTCTAGATTGTTAAATACAATAAAAAGCAAATTTTTGTTTTAATTGTTTCTTAAACACAATTAAATAAAATCCAAATGAATCAATAAATGCATTTAAAATTACTTTTAAATCAAATCTATTCCCGTAAGTTTATAAGTTTGTGCAAATCATTGGAATTATTAATTAAGAGTACGAATGCCATACAACTATGATTTAGTGCATAAGTAATAATTAGAAGCATTTGTAAGAAGTTTTTTGGGTTCACCACTAAAAAATCCATCCTTGTGAATAGAAATATAAGACTAGTAAAGAGCTCAGTCATATGTTCTCTAACTAATGCATGATCTTATCTGAATTTATAGCAGCCGTGGCGCAGTGGTAGCGCACTTGCCTCAGAAACGTAAGATCCGTGATTTAAACCCCACCTCTGGGCAAGTTTTGCGACATCGGTTGGGAAGGAGGCGTGAACTTCCTATTAAATGCTTTTCCGTGGCACGCTGTGATAAGACCGTAAGGACTTCTTGGGGCACCTAAATCAACATTAAAAAAAAAAGCCAAGATGAGATAGTAGTTAATTGGCAGTTTTAGCGGTAATGTTGTAGTGGTAGAGCGCTCGCTTTATAAACGAGTGGTTCCGAGTTCGATCCCCACCACGTCCCTGGTAGTACCGCGCTCAATTCGTTTCTCCGCGCAGCGGCCTTGCTCGTCAAGGTTCGAGTTTCGGAGTTATAGAGTTGAGAGAGGGTTATAACCACAAATAAGTAGCCTCCTCGTCTGTAGTGGCCTTCTCGGCCTTGAGGAGGTGAATTATTATTAAAAAATATATATATATATATATAATTTATAGAGAAAGGCAATTTTTCTAGAGAATTTTCAAAAAACTCTAATATATATTATAATGAATGACTGTGGTTGGGAATCACAATTTTAAAGAAAAAAAATAAAACTCCAGATGGATATATGTATCCTGCTAATTAGAGTTTGACTGTTAACAGAAGATATAGTCGAGATGTTGGTTAAAGTCTGTCATTATTGTTTTATTGAGGGTTTTATTATAAAATAAAAATAGAACTAACAACGAGTTGTTCTTTGTCTGTAACTCTTTTTCTTCTAGCATCATACTTTTATTTATACTGTTTTTCTTAGCAGTTTTTATTTCTCTCCGATTATTAATGTATAAGATATGAGTTTTTTTTTGTAGGAAATCGATATGCTATCTTTAAACTGTAAAACTGACGGCCTGAAAAAACTAATTGAAACTAATTTACTAATTTTTATACATTTAAACTCAGTTTTAAGTTAACATTTACATCTAATGCTCCAATCAAAAGTTGTATACTTCTACTAAATCCGATCTGTTACTTTGTTCCTCAAGTGTCCATAGACCTAGTTAAGTATTCTGTGCATACGATAGATGTTCTACTTCTATTATCATTTTAACAAAAATGATGTTTTATGTTTTCAATTAGTTCTTTATCTTTTACATAAAAAGGAAACGAAACAGATTTCCAATATTCTATATGTGGATTTTTATATTTTGATCTTAATAGCAGATTGTTTATAGACAATTGTGTGATTTATCATTCAGATAATTTTGTTTGCATTACCATAAACCTTTATACACTGGTTGGATATTGCCAGCAAATTTTAGTATATAGTTTGTCACACCGGTATCGAAGGCTAAAAAGAGAGATAGGCAAAACCTCTCATTTAGTTTATTATTATGGTGAATAAATATATCAAAACACTGGTTACTACCTTTACCATATAAATTTTATGCGAATTTATAACGTTAGGTACTTCACTTGGAGTTTCATAATAGCTATGTTTGTGATCTTGTATATTTTTCAAGTATTATTTTAACAAGCAAGATAATTGCACAACATCGGAATGTCTCACAGAACTGATTTAGCTAAGTGGAGTAAATATGATGTTTAATTTCTATTATATATGCACCCTCAGGATCATTGATAAAAATTATATCGATTGTTCAGCAGCAACAAATTATAGGAAGCAGTTGCTAATGGTTTCTAAAAACTATACGAATGAAACTTTTTCTTTTTACAACATATAAATTTTGTACGATTCTAGAAGATATCTGAGTAGTTAATATCAACCATTATTAGCCAGATTGTTAAACTTTTTTGAT